ACTCTTCTTCCCCAGCCCTGTTCTACCTTCTGTCTCTGGGTTTGACTACTCTGGGCACCTTGTATAAGTGGAATCATACAGTAATCTCTCCTTTTGTGTCGGCTTCTTTCTCTTAGCGTAATGTTCTCAGAGTTCATCCATGTTGTAGCATGTGTCAGAATCTTTCCCTTTTAAGGCTGAACAATCTGTATGGATATATTGCATTCTGTTTATTCATCTGTTGGACATTTAAGTTGTGTCCAACTTTGTTGATGCTGCTGCTGTGAACATGGATGTGCAAATATCCGAGACCCAGAAGTGGAATCGTTGGAACATAGGGTAGTTCTGTGTTTGCCTTTCGTACTGTCTTACATTGTCCCTAGAGATGGACAAGCGTTCCGATTTCTCCTCATCTTCCCCATCACATGTTTTGTTTTAATAGCCTTCCTAGTGGGCATGAGGTGGTGACTAATCACCTTCAATTAGAATTTTCCCTCCTGTCAGAGCTGTTGCTGCACCTACTTGATTTATGTGTGATCCATGTTGGGAGCATTTGTAAGGAGCAGTTTGCATTGACCAGCAGGTAGCTGTAGCTGATTCCTATATATGTAGCATCAATTCACCACAAGGTTTTTTGTTTTTTTAGTAAAGCTCTTTGTTTAAATGAAATAATGATAAATGTCTCTGGGTTTGCCACTTGCCGGAGATCACTCTGGAGAACATTCTCTGGTATCAAGAGCCCCAAGTCATCCATCTGCGAGATGACATTTGGCGCAGAAACCAAGCTCTCTACAGTTCCTCCAGGGGTGTCTAATGAGCCAAGACCATTAGAGTTAAATCAATTCTGATCAAATTCATGGGGGTACAGTGTCAGAAGGGAATGTTTCTCTCTCACTGAGTGTTTGGCTTTCAGATTGTTCTTGGTTGGGTTTTGCTCACTTTAATGAGCACAAGTGAAAACCACTGTTAACATCAACATGGCAGCATCAGCACCCACCTCTATATTTTGGAAGTCATTGTGCGTTCTTGAGCCAACAGGGGTAACTGTTAATCTGTCTTGGAAATCTACTTCTGACAGATGGTGAACACTCTTCCTTAATTTCCATTTAGCTTTACTTCCGTAAGTAAGATTAGCATGTGATATGGATCAGTTGATGAAGCACCCTCAATTTTAAAGCCAGATAATGTTAAGAATCACTATTTGGCCAAACCTGTGGTCTTTATTTATTTATTTTTGTCCTCCCATGTCATTTGCTTCGTGTGATTCTGCATTTCATGTGTCATCCATCACTGTTGGGTAGCATAAGCATATCACATAGAGGATTAGAGGAAAGCGATTTTGTGCTTAGAAAATAATTGAATGAAGATTTACTTTGTGACTTTAAGCTGCAGGACAGCTTCATATTTTAAAACCTATCATTTGGTTATATAAGCAGACATGCCCCAAAGTCTTAGGGAATGGGGCTTCATCTGAGTTTTATTGGGCAGCCTGTGCTTGCTTAAGCAAAGGCTTGTTTAAGCACCAATGGTCCAGCTCCAGGATAGGTCATGGAACAGAAAGAGTCTGCCCTGACGTGTGTGGCTCCACTTCCTGCCTGCCAAGGTCAGACAAGTATGTTTGAAATGCATACTGTGTGACACAACTGCCTTACCCTCAACTCTTCCCCAGCTCCCCTGGCTCTATATAGCATGATGAGATGAAGACTTTTAGAATTCTGAATAAAAATAAAAACCGTTCCTAATTTTTAGCCTGGGGAAACTATGCTGTCCATCTCCAGGTAAACCCAACACATTCTCTTCTATTATTATAGAGCCAATCTGTTCCTCGTTCTTCAGCTACCCTAGCAAGACTTTCTCAAATGTTGGCAATATATTGTCTTACAAAATATGCATTACCCGATTTTGTTCGGAACTTGAAACCAAAGGTCAAGGCCCACCATCCTTCATTTTGGAATCTCTGGTCGCTGCACAGTTTTCTGGGATGGCCTCTCCCTAACAAATGCTGTATGCAGCCAGAGCCTGCCAATGCAGGGCTCCTCTTCCCTGCCCATGGGGTGGGGACAGAGATGGGATAGGAGGACGGGGGATAACTGGGCTTTCTCTTGCCTTCCCATAGTCACCTAGATGTGGGCATGTTGTTCTTTCTCTGAAGTTCATCCATTCTGAATCTTGAATCTTTGAACGGGCTTTACAGGGTCTTTATCCTCCATATAGCTCACATGGATGAGCAGCTCTCACAGGACTCTTTTTTCCACCTCCTGTTGGGTGAATCTAATCATTTCTAGATGTGACTTTCATGTAAGGCAGGAGGGAGCAGGAGGTAGCTAAGGTAGGTCAGGAGGAAGTAATTTTGGGGGTAGGTGGGACTTTTTTTTTTTTTTTTTTTTACTGCTTCTGCAAATTATATACTGTAGAGTGAGGGCCTGGAGCTTCTTGGGATAAAACTGGATATGAGATTTTTTTTGAGGCATATGTTAGAAATACTTGTGGGTAGAGATTTATAAGTGCCTTTACAGGTAAATGGGAATAGAAAGGATGGATAGAAAAAACCATCCAAATGGATTTGATAAATACAGGTTTTCTTAAGTGTTCACCTGAATGCAGAGGTGGTTTAAAAGGAAGAAAAAAAAAAAAGCAACAAAAACCCCAGTGTGTTGAACGATTAAAGAGGGAATCTGAATGCTCATTTTCCCTTCAAAACACCATATCCATAATAAACTAAGATGAGGAAATAATGCTCCTGTGACCCTTTTCCTTTCGTAATTTATCTTTCTAATTCTAGTGAGTGAGCAATGACTTTGTGCCTGGGGAGAGTGAGCAGATGAGATTAATTTGTGCCATCACAGCTCTGCTTTATTATCCATCCTGGAGAGGGTTGCAGTGGAGATGCTTTTAGCAGAAACATCGTGAAAAAGCTGCTCTAAGGGCTTGGAGGAGCTAAGTGCTGCCCTTTGCAGTGTCTTGGCACTGCTGAGGCAGTTGGGAGCTAGCTCTCTATGGCTTCACTGTCCTCTCCTGCCCTCCTGGTGGACAGGTACAATGGCCGGGGCAGGCAGCCAAGGAGAACCCTTTACTTGGGCATCTCTGCTTCCAGAAGGATGCTCTTCAAAACCTCTTCAGTTGTCCCTTCCTATGGATGGTTCTCTCCAATATCTGACTCTGCTTGCTCATACCAGACCCACATTTTTTTTAAAAGAAGTATTTTTCTAGTGACATCGTATTATGACCATCTTAAAAGGAAACTTTTAAAACAACCATCCTTTATCCATTACCCTGACAGGGCATACCCACATCTTCACCCTCTGGTTATTTTATAGATCTAAAACACACATATATGTGTACACACACACATATTTACATGTGATGTATTTATTTTAAGTGTAATTCCTTTGACATACTCCTTTTCTTGTCACCCATGTATAAAATCTTGGCATTGCCTCATATCTTTTCTGTTCCTGTCAATGGCTTAGGACACAGTGGAAGGAAGGGGGGAAATGATATTTTCTGTTTGGTAAACTATAGATATTGATGCGTATTACATAGCATTGTGAGGACTCAGATATTGTATATGAAAGGGACTCATCAAAATGATACATAATAGGATGCTCAGAAGTATCCGGTCTGTTGGCAGGTCTAGTCCATTCTGAAATTTCTCTGGCATTTATTATTTCCGTTTCTTAGCAGACCAAATAATGATGGGCAATTACTTTCATTCGCAGACTAGACAAGAGGCTTCTAATTGGACCTCATGGTCCAAATCTGGTCCATTAAAGTCTTCCTGTTGCTACCATTTGGCCTTCTAAAGCGCTGTTTTTGTGCATGTTACCCCAGTCAAATCTTTCAGTTGCTGCCAATGCTTATGAGAAACCTCTTGAATGTCTTCATGGCTACTCAAAGCCCTCTGCTTACATTCTCAGCATGAAGCTTCATACTTGCTCTGCTCTTGGGATCTCAGCTCTCAGCAAACCTGCCATCTTCTCCCCTCTCACTGAAACAACTGACCCTCTTCAGTTGAATTTGTGGCCACATTTGCAAGGAGTTGTGGTATCGTTGAGGGGAGAAAAGAGCCCAGAGTCTGGGGAGCTCTAGCCGCCTTCGGTAGCATAAGATAGGGCTTACCCAGTATTTAGGTGGGCCTATTTTTTAGTGGGTTGTTCAACAAAGAACAGTGGTCATACCCTTCAGTAAACTTACAGGCTTTTGAAAAAGGACAGACTAGGTCATTTATTTTTTTGTGTCTTTCACGTTATATTATCCATAAAGCCCTTTAGGGGATTACTAATTGTAACAGCTCTTTTATTGATCCATCCTGAATGTTTATCAAAACCATGTTGAACTTACTGAAAATATATGCCATGTAGTAGATTGGATCAAATTGTGGGGACTCCCCTCAGCTGGTGACAACATTTGGAACAAGCAGGACATACAAGAAGGTGTTAAGGTGTTCACCTTTTTTTTTTCTTTTCCATTTCAAAGGGGTGTTTTCTATAGATTAGGTTTGTGTGTCAATGAGTTTTTTGAATTCAGAATTCTGCTGAGGAAGTTCTGCAACCACATAGATAGGTATGTGGTTATGTTTAGGTATGACCTGTTATGTTTTAATTTTAGGTATGACCTGTTATGTTTTAATTTTCCCCACAGGGTATGATGTGTATAGATCTTTATATGCATGTGTGTGTATTGGTAAAGGACAGTGCAAAGTAGTTTAAATTTAGATTGATGCTTTATATCTTGGGAAACTGTCTTATGAACTTTGGCCCTGTTTCTCTCTCCCTCAACTTTAAAGAATAAACTAGTGTTTAGGTCTCCTTGGGCCCTGTCAGACATGGCATTTTATGGTTCTATTATCTGTACATCCAAATAATACCAAGCTGAGTCTTGAATAAAATGCCTTCTGATTGCTGTTTGAGATTCTGTCTGTAGTGAAATTAAACTGACTTCTAATAGGACATAGTCTTGTTTTGGACAACAAAGCTTGTGTGTTAAATTACTAATTTCAGTTTTCTTTTTCTCTCCACCAGTTTGCTGTTTTGTGGTTCACAAGAGGTGCCATGAATTTGTCACTTTTTCTTGTCCGGGTGCGGATAAGGGACCCGACACTGATGTAAGTAGTCTGGAAGCTGTTATTTGATTTAATGGAGATTTGTGACTTCACCTTTTTTTAATGCCTGTACAACTGTTGTTTTGGCACATACCCTTAATGGGAAGACTTGTCAATGAGTCCTGTACAACTTTGACTTGTACTAACGAACAGATCTATAGTCCTTTTGAGCCATGGCAAGAAGACTTCAGGGTCAGAGGAGAATTTGTTAGCTTGTACTCTTCCACTCTGGGCAACCACATGGACTAAATCCACCAACTTTATAGTGAGAGCTTTCACAAACACAGTGTGGTTCTTTTCTGAAAATGTTGACAAATTTCACAACAAAAGTAAATCACCCTTTACCGTTCACCCTAACAGTTGGTTGACTAATAGGACTATCCTTGCTTTTGGCCAACATAACATGCCTCTTTCTACTTTGCTTTATGAGATCCTTTCTTTTCATTATCTATCATAAATGCTGCTGTTGATTTAAATAATTTAGCATCTGTTCCACTGAACAACTGATCTCTGAAGCTGCCCATGTGTGAACACGTAATTTTATTTGTGCCCTAATTCCGTCTGTCTCTAGTGAGCATCTCTTGCATCTCTTGTTTACTGAAAAATGGGATCAGCAAAGGAGAGTGGGAGCCAGGAGGCCTGGGAAATCCCAATATCTAAAATATATTGAGTGGAAAATTGGGCTGTTATATGGAAAATACTTTAACAGGAAAAAAGAAATTTGCAGGGAAGGCCTGAGGAGGAGACACTTCTATTCTGAATTGCTTTTGCTGGATCACTTCAGTCACAAATACTTAAATTACGTGCTCCAAGTGTGATTCCTACCTTTGACTCTTGTTCCCATCAGGAAACACAGATTTCAAAGTGGCTTTCTCAGAGCCGGCAGGGCTGAATTCTTCCCTTTTCTGAAGAGGGCATACTCATGGTGAGCTCTTAGGGGTTCATATTTATGTTGTTTTATAGCACATGTAACAAAGGAACTTACTGTTGCGCCCTGAGCACCTGGGAACATGCTGTGTTTTGGTTAAGAAGCTGGAGGAAGCCGTAGAGCAGAAGCCTTGGGCTCAGAGCCACCAATGGCCTGCAAAGGCTCAAAATGTGGGAGCTTCAGAGATAATCCTGTTTTCTGTCTTCACAGACCAGAAGGTCCACGTCCATGAACAACCCACCTATATACAAAAAAGTAGTGTGCTCCACCTGACCCTTGCACATTCCCCTTCTTTCAGGAATATTGTTTCCACATTTTTGGCATCCTAGAGTTAAAAATAGGTGTAGATAAAGAGTACCAGCTTTCCTGAAAGTTGGCCTCAAGCATCACATGGTGTTTCTTTGGCCACCTTGGTCATTATTCTGAATCCATCCTTCTGTTCTCCCATTTTAGCTCCAGCAGGAATGGGGTGTGATAGGGGATTGGCAGGCCATAGGGGTGTAGTTATTGCCTGACTTCTTTCCCTCCTTCCACTTCTTCATTCTTTTGCTTAAGTACTATATGTATTTTTTTTTTGAAGATTTATTTGTTTGAAAGAGCACAAGCTCACACAGGGAAATGGGGGTAGAGGCAGAGAGAGGAGGAGAGAATCTCAAGCACACTCCCCACTGAGTATGGAGCCCAGTGTGGAACTCAATCTTATGACACTGAGATCATGACCTGAGCCAAAATTACTAGTTGGATACTTAACTGAGCCATCCAGGTGCCCCAAATACTTGTTATTAAGTACAAAGTATGGGGAAAGATAGACATGGAAGATATCACTAATTAAAATAGGGTAAACGTTCTCTGAATGTGTTTACCTAAGAGACCTCCTCTGGGTGATCAGAGGCTTTCCCAAAGAAATGGCATTTAAACCAAGCTTCCGGAACAAGATAGGCAAGCACAAAGGAAACGTGCATGTGTGTGTATGTGCTAGGGCATATGGAGCCCCATGAAAAACCGTTCCAGGCCAAGGGAAAAGCAAGTGAGAAAGCCCTGATGTGGGAAGTTTAGTGTGTGAGAGAAGAAGAGCAAGCTGGTAATCAGATGTGTAGTTAAGGATTTTGAACACAATCTTAGGAGCAGTAAGGATCCAGAAAGAATCTTTAAATTAGGAACAATGTGTTGATCCTTTTGGTACGGTAACAGGATTTCTCTGGTTTCCTTATGGGAAATGGACCAGGTTAGGGGGTGGGTGAAAATGGGGAAATACCAAAGGATGAAGAATCAGCATGGAGGGCAAGGTGGCAGAAGCTTGGGGGGAGGTAGGAGAAGTGTGGATGGGCAGAGTGAACTCATTCAAGATGTATTGAGGAGCTGAATCAGGAGCCCTTGGCCATTGGTGGGGGATCAGGGAGATGGAGATGTTGAGGAAAAACTCTCGGGCTTCAGGCCTAAACCTGTGAATGGATGGAGGCCATCAAGACCATGGAGGGAGAATGTATTGGGAAGTAATAGGATGATAGGGCAGATCGAGGGTTTCACTTTGGACATGTGTAGTTTAAGTCGGGCATTGAGAAGACCATTGTCTTATGAATGCAGGTATGGAGGTTGAAAGTAGAGGGTATCCTAAAGATAAAGATTCCCCTCCTCTGGTTTTCGTTAGTTTTAAGCTTTGGGTGTGGATCATTTTGCCTAGAGAACGGGATACATAGAATGAGAAGAAGAGATTAGGGTCCAGGAGAGAGCATTAGTGGATTGGATAAAAGAGGGAAGGCAAGACCAAGGAGAAGCAGGAAGGAGAAGTAGGAGGAAGACGACCAGGTGGTGATGTTCTAGCAATTTCCTAGAAGGGCTGTAGGCTAGCTCTCTGCTTATGTCATGAATTCTATAAGCTTTCGATACTACACATAAAGAGTTAATATACATCCCAGTTTGTGCAGGACTGTCATGTTTACATGGGGAGGTTTTGGTTTATGCCTGCTACAGATTAGTTCATGCCTGTTAAATTCTTACCCTGTTTTGATGATCGCTATGTAGCCACCCTACTCCTAGAACCCCAAGCCAGGCAGGAAGCCTTAGTGATGGTCTGTTGGTAAGATACAATGGGATGCACACCTGTGAGCTGATGTGTTCATTCTGAGGTTTTCCCCTACTCCCTGTTGTGTTGACCTGCTATAGATGGTCTGTCTCACATCTTAATATCTGTGAAAGTGAAGATAAGAGAGGATTTTTTTTTTAATATGAGAAGAAAAAAAGTACTTGAACAGTCTGTGCGTTCTCTTCCAAGAAGAAAATTTGCCTTTTGGTTGTTGGCCTTAAGAGGCCGATGATTAGGGCTTTGTGCAGCCGGGGCATGAGAAGTGTGTGTCTGTGTGTAGGGCAATTTTATTTATTGTACAAATCTGCAAGGTGCCCAGACTTAAACTGCACCAGAGAGGTAGTTGGAAAACCATGAAGGTGTCAGGACACAGAGCTGAGATGAGATGGTAGGATTTTATTTTATCTTTCTTGAATACATTTTAAAGTCCTAGAATTATAGAGCTGAAAGGAGTGGTGAAGACTTATCTAGGTTAACCTTATTTTTTAGATGAGGAGAACAAATCATATAAAAGATGTAAATGATTGGGGGACACTGCAACATGACTCTTGAGTGTCCAAGAGGTTTGTGGATGATTTGAGGCTGTGAAAGGAAAGAAGGAGGGTCTTCTGTGGTGGTCTGATTGTCCTGTCAGTGGAGAAGTTGCTACTATTACCATCGTGTAATCCTTCAAAGTTCTGTTTAAACATTTAGAAAAATGCTAACAGGCATGGGAAAGGCCAGTTAATGGAATGGAAGGATCAGGAAACACAAAATACGTAGGTTTTTTTCCTCTTAAGTTGTATTTTTTTCCCCTGAAATTCTAAAAGTTTTTAGATTGAGATTTGTTTCGTGTGTGGCAAACGCTTAAGATGCACACAGTTCACCTGCTGCTTAATGATGCCAGCTCCGCAGACCCCAGGGCATTCACACATGGGGACAGAGAAGAGGGACAGACCGTGTGAAGTGCACAGACATTGGACCTGGTCCTGAATCTTTAGGATGAAAGGACAAGTGCTGTGAAAAGTGTGAAATAGCACTGCCCCAATTACAAGGAACCATATGGAAAGAGTTAAAAACTCTTTGGAACAGAGATCATCTTCAAGACTCAAGGAGCAGGCTAGCTACAAGGATGCAGAAGTGTAGGGAAACTGAGGAGGTGAAGGGGTGTCTGGGTTCAGCTGAAGGGTGGAAGGACCCCATCTCCCCCTACTGCACCCCCACCCCTGCCCCAGAATGGGTCAGGCCGTTCTCAGCCCTCCTTCCCTACCCCCTCTGGATGCAGAGAGTTCTGTTGCCAGACACTCCCTCCCAATATGTCTGGAGATAAAAGCCAAGCATCTCCGAGACTTCAAGTGCAACCTCATGCACGCCAAGGACAGAGGAGGAAAACGTAAGACTTTGTGTTGGAAAGGCACTTTGAGCTGGTACAGGATTTGTACCTGTACCTGATTTGCCAGGGGTGCGGCCTCAGAAGGCAGCCTGGTGCTCTGCCCAGCACCCCTGCCCCATATCTAAGATTTTGTAAGACGACAAAGAAAACAAAATCGGCCCATGTTTAGAAATGGCTAAGGTCCCTTCTGCTGCCCCAGCCCTGTCCCCACTAAGGCATGAACTAGGACATGGACAAGCCTTGCCTTTTGGGGTGGGGTGGGGGGTGCGAGTCTGCTCTTGGGAAGAACTGACTGTGCTTCTGTTTCTTCAGCTGCCACTGATGATTTTCTGATGTGAGCTGATGTTTTTCTTCTTCCTTGCTCTGGCCGTGATGGGGTGAGGGGACCTGGGGGCCGGTCCCAGAGGGGCCGACTGTCTCAGACTCCTGCCCTTCACCTTTTAAAATTTCAGCTGCTTTGTCCTTCAGTCCGGAACTCCTGCCTGTTAGAACGGTCTCTGCTCAAATTACATCTGTTCGTGAAGCCCTCCCTGCAGGAGGGAAGCGGGCATCTTCAGGTCTTCCAGGATGTATGCGTGTGTTTATTCATTCCCCCCGCCAAACTTTATGTGCCTTAAGGG